GAGAATTCATTTCTGGTTTTGTTTTGTTTTTTAAGCCACCCAGTTTGTGGCATTTTGTTATCACAGACCAAAGAAAAATACATAACCCAGTAATGAAGGCCATCTAATCTAAGCTACAGAAATGCCCTTTAGCTACCTGGAGGTTCAGGGTTCTAAAAATGGAATGATGACTTTAGGAAAGGCAGGCCAGACACATGTAATTCAACATACCAAGATGTGACAGATTTTGATGACACCAGGTGATAGTTGAGCACATGGCCTTAGATCAAGTAAACCGAGAAGCTAATTGAAAAACTAAACAGCTATCACACGATGCATGTAGCAGTCGTATGGGGTGAACTAGCCCTGATTTGGGGTGGGGACTTTTCGGCTTTCAGAGAACAAGACTGACAGCATTCAACGTTTCAGATACGTGAACCAGGTAATGGAGAGGACATGTAGCAGTGTGGTGGGGTTAAAAAAAGAGATAGATTTAAGAGTTCATGAAAAATTTAGAATATTTTAAAGATCAATATCTGTATTGATAGTTTGGATAGAAATTTTTGTTGATTCTCAATAATACTGAAGACTTTGTGGAAGCATGAGCTTTTAATTACACACAAGAGCATTAAATTAATAACAATATTTACCAATATTCTGTTCAAAATGCTTTTCAAACACCAAATAGTTACCCAATTAAGCCACTGTAAGATAAGCTGTTATCACTGCAGATTTAGTGAAAAAGACTAATAATTATTATTACAACAGTTTCTGTGAAGTAAGACAATGTTTACCGTGTATAACTAAGCACAGCTCACACCATCTTAATGAGGAGGGAGCAGAAGAAACAAAAGGCTGCTTATCTACGTGTGAACTCAGCAGGAAACAGAGTTGCCTAAGAACCAATCGTCACACCCGTTAGAGAATTTAACATGCAAAGCGAGATCAAAATTGGCAGAAGGCTATTTATGAATATTGTCAATACCGAATATCACAGACTGACAATAGAGAATCTTTGGTCATGCCCTGAACAACATAATTCATCACACCAGTGCTTGGGGCAGTCATGTCCAAGCAATTTATCATCATCATATCACTCGTTGAGTACAAGAAGGGGAGAACGTTGATTGTTAACCTCTAGGGAGGATGGATTTATAGCTGGCGCCCCTCAGAATACAGCCTGGCTCTGCCCAAAGCACAATGTTCCTTGCTTCACTTCTGTTTAAGTCACAGTCAAAGAGAGCACGATGCCTACAGGATTCAGTGAGCCAAGTCCCAAACTCATGTTCTGATATCCAAGTAGGATAGTGAGGAAATCGTATTTTAAATGCCCTTTAAGCTGCATGAAAAAAATATATTAGGCAAAGGTAAATACACATGACTCATTTCGAATACCCTTTGGTGACAAATCAATTTTGGAAATGCATTCACTGATAACTACATTTGGGAAGGAATGTCTCTTCATAACTCATCCATGATCATTCCTCCATATTGGAAAACTTGGCAGCACAACACACACACACACACACACACACCACACACACACACACACACACACACACACACACACACACACACACACACCCTCAAATAAAAAACGGGAGCATTGACTTCCACCCTTTCTGGTTATCGATTCTGTATGTATTTTTACTTTGACCCTGGCTGTTCCTGCAGAATGTAACTGGGCATCTAAATCAGTGGTTCTTAACCTTCCTAACGCTGTGACCCTTAAAATGGTTCATCATGTTGTGGTAAAATTATTTTTGTTGCTACTTCATAATTGTAATCTTGCTACTGTTATGAATCACAATGTAAATATCTGTGTTTTCTGATGGTCTTAGGTGACCCCAGTGAAAAGGTTTGTTTAACCCCCAAAGGAGTTGTGGCCCACAGGTTGAGAATCACTGATCTAACTGCTATTCTTTTCACCTTTGTTGAAAATCATGAAGCTGACTAGGGCACTGTGGGAAGCAGTGTGCCTGTCATCCTCCCAACAGTGAAAGGGACATTTAGTCACAATAGAAAGCCCTGTGCGGCCAGCACCTTCCACAAGGCTTTCGGGGTATCTGGTGAATTGGACACAGAAACTCCTGGCTGAATGCTGCTCAGATCTCCTGGAGTCTGTAAGGCAGACTAGGTGAGGGTGCACCAACAAATTCTCCAGTCTCAGAGACTAAAGGCAATGAAAATGTATTCCTAGGTCACTTCATATGTCTACACTAAGGGATGGTTTGTGTTGATTGTCAGCTTGATAAGAATCTAGAATTGCTTAGAAGACAAACCAACAGGGGCTACATAGAGAGATCCTGTCTCTCTCAGATACACCTCAGTCCTCAAGTATGAGACATTCTTACAAGACAAAATAAACAACAAAGTCATAAATATAGTGTGTTATATGGGGATTAGCAATATGGGGGAAAAGAAAGTGAGTATGAAGACAAGGAAAACTAAGTCAAATGAGGGCCCTGAAGGGTTTTAGCAAACATCAGGAAAATGTGCTGATTGTGTGACATTGACAACTTCACTGCCATTGATGTCACCAGACCTGTTCTCAGCTTGTGTTTGGGTTTCATCACATCCACCTCCGTGTTACTCCCCTGTTCCCTGTAGTTAGTACACTGAAAGCCATGGTCCTTTCCAAATGGCACAAATCCCGACATAACCTGCTCCTATACAGATCTCCAACTTCGTCTTGAACCAGATACTGAAACTGAAACCTTCCAGAAGTCCCAGAATGCATCAAATTCTTTCATGACTCCCTTGCCCTTGTAGGTCCCAGTAAAAGAGATATCTTTAAGTTCTTCTCATCTTCCTACATCAGAAGCTAAATTGGTGAGGCATGTCCATCACCAAATAAAATAGTGCACCCTCTCCACCATTATCCATCCCAGCCCCCTACTTACAAGTTGTATCTGTATATTAATTTGCTTGTTGGCTCCTTCACCCACAAGCAGAATATGAACTCAAGAATCTGGTGCCTTTATTTGTCCTGCTCTCATTATAGTCCACGTGAGTATTCAGGCAGAGTACATATTTATTGATTGAATAAAGTAGCCCTTCCTGACTACCTTGTAATTTCAACACCAGATGTGACCAAAATATCATTAGCTGAAAGCAGTATCTTATTTTCATAAATTCATAAATTATTACGTTGAGTCATGACTTAGAGATCAATGACCTCCGTGTGCCTAGGAGGGCCAAGTAACCTCTACAAAGTTCTGTTGACTACAGAGCTGCAAGCAGACAGACTCATTATAGGTCTAAGTTCTTCAAACCAGCAGCCATTTTCTCTCTCTCTTTAAAATAATATTACTTTGTTTTTTATTGTTAGGCATTGGTCAAAGGGCCTCGTGCATGCTAGGAAAGCACTGTGCCACTAAGCTTTAGTACCAGCCCCTTTTTAATTTTCTATTTTGACCTAGGTTCTTACTCTATAGCCCAAGCTGGCTTGGGACTTGAAATCCTCCCACCTTGGCCTCCTGAATAGTTTGTGCAGGTGTATGTCACCAGACCAGGCCACCAGAAATGACTCATATGCTGAATTCTAGATCATGACTTTAGTCTCTGTTGGAGGTCAGACAAACTTATATATACACAGAGTGGAAACAGTCTAAGGGAGAGCACAGACTTCAGAGTCAGAAAATCAGGCTCCCTCCTAACACCTTCCAGCAGGGTTGCTGGAGCAGCGTTCTGTACCCGATCTTGCTCATCTGTGCTGTGAAGCTACCTGACATGGCTGTGCCAGGAATTAGAGTGTAGAGTTCAGGTACCACCCCGGCAACTAGCTTTCACTAACTGTGAAAAAAAAAACCCAGTACTTGGACATCCCTGGGGTTCAGAATCCAAGAATAGAAACAAAAAATCCATTTGCTCTTTTATTCCAAAACGACATATGTTTTCATGATTTTGATAATTCTATTTTTTGTTTGTTTGGTTGTTTGAGACAGGACTCACTATGCAGCTATGTCCTGGGACTTGCTTTGTAGACCAGGCTGGCCTGGAACTCACAGGGATCTGCCTGCCTCTGCAGTGCTGGGATTACAGGTGTGCATCATCATTGCCCAGCAACTTTGATAACTCTAAGGCACCATCCAGCTTCCATATATGAAAATATAATTTCATAAAGACACATTTGGTAAAGCTGGAGTTCAAATTATCTTTTTGAATATCGTTATTTGACCCAGCAACAGTCAGAAATGGGCAGAAATATTTCTTTTCAGTGTGCACTGTGGTTTTTCTTTCTTTCCTCTGTCCTTCCTTCCTTCGTTTCCTTTCTTTTCTTTGAAGGGAGCTGGTTATTTCTAGAATGGTATCAGGCCTCAAGGATAACTGTTGGACATTCCTTCGGTCTATGTAAACTATAAAGGAATAAGTCAAGTGGGTATCTAGTCCTGGGACTCTTCTTACAGAGGTTTCTTCTCTGGAGATACGAATAAAGGAACCTTAAGTGCAGGAATTAAGCGTTTGTCAATCTCCTTTCTCTATGTCGTTGCAGATTTGAAGTTGTCCTCCTCGGCAGTCATCACTATACCCAAGGTATCTTTATAGCCACCACTCAACATCAGGACTGTATAAACTTCGCTAAGAGATCTAAGGAGATGAACTTAAGTGCTGGGAATACATGTACAAGAAGATAAAGCTAAAGTTCTGATGTCAAAGCTTGTTAAAGAAATCCCGAGGGAGGAAAAGAGGCCTCCACCTTCCGTTTCCCCTCCCTTCCGAATCAGCTGCCCCAACAAGCCCCTAAAAGCTCAGCAGGTAAACTGAGCAGAGCAAACCAAGTGCAGAACCCGCCCAGAGTGCCAAACTTTCAAATTAGACTTTGGGAGATCAGCGCCCTCGGAGCCCAGGCAGGCTCCTCAAGGCCGGGACTCCTCAAGCCAGGCCCCCTAGTCTTTGCAACCTCTCAGGAGACCTAGAGAGGAAAGCGGCAGGGCCACAGCGCAGCTTTCCTGGCCCAGAAAGAGGCTTCACGTGACTCCTTGCAGGACAAGCCCGGAGTTCCAGGCCTCGGTCCCCACCTTTCCTACCGGGCCCACAGCTCCTGCACCGGTTCCGGAGTTTCGTTCCTCCTGCCTTTCGCCGCCTGCTCCCCTGAGAATTTGAGCTAGGTCTGCTTCCCCTCCCGTTTAGTTGTTTACCCCTCCCTCCCTCCGTCCCTCCCTTCCACTTTGCCTTTTCCGCTAGCCTTTCCCCCGCCCACTGGGCCTATGTCACGTCCCACTACTGACGAAAGCCCCTCCCTGCGAGCTCTTGCCAGACCTGAGACTAAGCCCATTAAGTTCCTGCTCTGCCAGTCATTTAGGCCTAGGCAGGGCTCCCATCAGCTGGAGGGCCAACTAATGTGCAAGCCTTAAGCTTGCAGCTAAGGAGCTCCTCTCAAAGGATGGGCTAGGAACCCACCCACTCTACACCCTAATTGTTTCATTTCTCTTTGGCTTGGTTGATGTTAGATTCCCAAGGAGGAAGGAAGCCGCAGGATTTTCCCCAAGTCTCAATTCTCCGTAAAACAGCCTGGAAAGAAGGACTCCTTGAGTAATTTTTTTCTGTGTCCTCCAAGACTGTCAGAGCACTAAATACTGCCCATCTGGTGTCAGGATGCATTTTGGATCCCGCTGCTTAACGCACAGAGCTCTGGTTTTGTATTCCCTGTTGGGTTATTGTTTGTTTGTTTTGTTTTCCGTGACTCTGAACTTGCTTGTATCCTTTAAAAGCAGAGTGCTAGACTAGAGCACTTGAAGCAGACCTGGAACTCAATACCACTGGAGCAGGCTTAGGAAAAATGCAGGGTCTACAAAACACAGCCCTAGTTGCTGCTGATGTAACACAGAGTAACACCTTTCTGTTTGGCCTACCAGTTCATTTTAATTTGAAGTCCGAGGAGAAGGAGAACTTAGAGTGGTCATTTCCAAGGAAGATAGAGGTTTAGTGGAAACAACTGACGGTTGATGGAGGCTGTTCTGGTACACTTTAAAAACGGTGTGTTTTGTGCTGAAATTCTTAAAATAGGTTTTTATTTGTTTAAAATTGTTTTTACATTTTATTTATGTGTGTGTGTGAAAACAGTTTTCCTCAGGTCCGGTTTCCCTGTATGGGTCCCAGGCTGGAACTCAGGCCATCTGACTGGATGGACAAGCCGCCTTTAACTGTTAAGTCATTTTGCAGGCCATTGTGCTTAATTTTTGAATAACCTACGTAGGACTTTTTCCTCTACTTACAGACAGGAAAACACACTTAGAGTGTGATCATCAAGTTCAAGGCCAGAAATGAAGTCCATTTTAGTTGCTGTCAACCATGGTATCATATCTTCATAGGGACCCCTGATCGCAGGGCAGGAAGTAAACTTATTCTAGTCAGAAGGCAGAAGGTTGCACAGCCCTCTTCCCCCTCTTTCCTCATTTACTTTTCTTCTTAGGCAGCGTTACAGTATGAGAAGCCCCTGAAAAAGGGGATAGTAAGGGACACATACTGAGAACAATGTGTCTGGGTAAATCCTAGAAGCAAGGATGAGAATAAATGTAGGGCCTCAAAATAAGAGGGACAAAAATAAATGTAGAGTTAGGAAGCAGAGCGCCCCCCTCTGAGTACTGGGAGGGGTGGATCTTGCTGGAGTGAGTGGGCGCACATAGAGATTGGAGAAGGACAAGACGGACCGAGGGAGGCTGCTGGAGGGTTTCAGTGCTGGCTACCAGTTTTCACTGCTTGCACTCTAACTGTGAAGCCGTATCAATGTATACCTGACAATGCTTGGTAAAGAGAGGCCTAAAAGTCATGATTTACAATGTTATGTATCTTATCAGCCCATGCTCCTAGAGGTGAAGTTATGCACAAGGTTCATGTTAAAACTGTCTTTGTTTTTTCTTTATGGAAGTTACTAAGTTCTCTGCTGGCCACATTGAACCCATAGAGCAGTATTCATGACGGATCTCACATTCAGACTCTTACCTCTGTGGCTTTTACTTCGTAAAAAAGAGAGCGTTAAATAAAAATGACCATACACATTATTTATCTTTGAAGGAAACAGCAACAAAGAAATTTCAAATTAACGTGTAAAATATTTACTTATATTAAGTCTTCCCCCACCCCCGCCCCAGCAAAGTGGGTCCACGGACAACAGTGAAACACTTTCAGTGTGTTGTGGCAAGATGTACATTGTTGTCTTGCTGCATATTATAAGTGATTTTGTATGCTACTGCTAGCTAAATAAAAATGCCATTAGATTTTTAAAATAAATAAAATAGGGGCTGCAGCGATGACTCACCTATTGTTCTTGTAGAGGATCCCAGTTCAGTTTCCAGCACCCAAGATAGACAACTCACAACACAAGGTAACTCCAGTTCCAGAGGATCCAACGCCTTTCTCTGACTTCCTCAGACACCTGTACTCACATTCACAGACCCTACATAAACATTTACATATAACAAAAAGTAATAAAATATTTATTATAATTTCATATGTAAGTATTATTTCCCCCATCCTGTCCTCCCTACAACTTCTCCACTTTCCTTCTCAAATTCATGGCTTCTGATTCCTTAATTACTATTGTCACACTTATGCATAATTTATAAATACAACCTGTTGAGTTAATTTAATGTCACTCATATGTATATGTGTTTAGGGCTGACCACTTGGGTCGGATCATGTATCAGGGCACTCCTCCTTGGAAAAGATCAGCAAACATTAATCGTCTGTGAAGCTGCTTCTAAGGGTGGGGCATTGTCAGTTGGTATTATCATTTTCAGGTCTTGTTTAGGAAGCCATATGGTACTTTTTGAGGAGGCATCCAACCATCTCCCAAATCATGACACCATGATTTATTATTAGTTTTGAATGTTCAACCTTAGCTTAGCTCTTATTCTAATCTGTTTTTCCTCATTTACATCTTTCCTTGGCACTTTTTACCTCTTTCCTTTTGTACCTCTTACTTTCACTGTTTCTTCTGTCTGTCTGTCTGGTGGCTGCCTGGCTTCTGGCCCTGGGCATGTCCCTTTCTTTCTCCCTCATTCTCCTCTTTCTTCTCTCTCCAGCCTAGATTTCTCCTCCTAACTTATCCTCTCTGCCTTCCAGCTTTGCCTGTCCCTCTTCTGCTTAGCTATTAGCCATTTGTTTGTTTTATTAGTCCAATCAGGTGCTTTAGGTAGGCAAAGTGAAACAAATGTATCCCATCTTTACATAAATGAACAAATGCATCATAAGCAAATATAGCACACCTTCACATAATTAAAGTAGTATTCCACAGCATAAACAAATGTATCACATCTTTACATTGTTTAAGTAATTCCCACAACAGCCATATTGCTGAGATTTCATGGGTACAATTTCCCTGTCATATGTAGAAGACATTATATCACAGCAGATTCCCTAAAGCTTTTTTAAAACTAAACATAATCTTATTTTACACACCAATCCCAGTTCCTTCTCCTTGCCATCCTCCCATGCCCCCTACCACCCCGCCATTCCACCCTACTTCTTCTCCCCAGGGAGGGTGATGCTTCCCATGGGGGATCATCAAAGTCTGTCACATCATTTGGTGCAAGACCTAGGCCTTCCCCCATGTATCTAGGCTGAGAGAATATCCCTCCATAGGGTATGGGCTCCCAAAGTCCATGCATTAGGGATAAATACTGGTATTGTGTAGGAATAAAGATTCACTAAACTCAGTACAGGTTAAGTGAAGTTTATTCTGGAAGAATGCACTCACACAAGAGGCGGGTGACTGCCTCAGGTTCCAGCTCCAAAGATCCACCCAGCCTGTCCTATGTGACCCAACCAGAAGCAAGAGAGAGTGCTGGGGTTTGGAACTCCAGATCTAGTCCTACCCTCTGTCACATCTGCACCTGTGACACCCCCCAAAAAAACAGGAGTGGTCAATGCTACAGATGTGGGTGGGGTGGTTATCTCACTACAATTCCCCTTTTAGTCTAAAGAAAAAGATTTAGGCTTGATACAAAACTATATAAAAGACAGCAAACATCAAGTATGCACTAAGAGAAGGAAAAGTAAGAACAAACACACTTAAGACCTATTACCAGTGAAGCAACAAGAGCAAATGGCAAGAACTACATATCCAGTCCTAGGGTAGAGGCATGGCAGAAATTGCTATGGGGTTGACCTAAGGTGGAAAGTTTAAGTCTTGTACCTAATATTGCTATCTAGGAAGAGAGAACAATAATTGTGACAGTCTAATCTTCAACATCATCAGAGACCTGAGAAGGAGGATAGCAATACTCAGGTAGGCAGGAAGTGCAGGCGAGCAACTTCCCAAAGGTGCAATAAAGATAGAAAGAGCAGGCTACCTGGACAGTCACCCAAAGTATCACAGCAGTGTAGGGGCAACCAGTTTTGGCTAATATCTAGAGTATCTGACTGACCAACACAGAAGCAGGGAGTTAGAAAGGCTCTCTTGGCAAGGGTTAGAAGTCTTCTAAGTTTATTTCCTGCAAGCATAGTAGGACAGCATGTCCAAAGTCAGTGGTCGAGGTGGGAGCAGTTCTTTGCCCAAGAGGCCGTTAACTGAGGAGAGAATGGAGTCCAGAAGGAGTGACATCAGTGCCCAACATTTTTTGGGGGAAAGCTTGGTGCTGTCAGGAGCAATTGTGTCTCCTTTCATCAGAGTACTAATATTAAAACATTTAAATGCCATATTCTACAGGTCTATGAAGTGTTTGAAGATCAAATATCTATGTCTGATTAATCTTGTAGGGAAGAAACATGGGTGGTAAAAGTCTGTAATTCTCAGAAACAGTTGTGCAATGGCTGAAGCTTCTCAAAATGATTTAGCAAGGACAATGACTTCTGTGTTTTGTCATGATCCCTATATGATGTGGACAGCACCCCCAACCATCAGGAAGTAGTTTGAAATGAACGACACCCAAATTCCCAAAATTGTTTATAAATTTTTGTTTTCATTTTCAAGGGGTTGGTTATAAATGGTTAATGATCACAACCAATTTCTTTTTAAAGGTAAAAGGGAGAATGAATACTTTATATCGGAATGGATTTACATTTATGGATACAAATTCAAGGTCAGTTTTGTGATATGTATATTTCTTCTCTTGGTTAGGTATTGTGCTTGTACAGCTCATTTTAAAATGTAGTGTATAATTAAATACAGAT